GGTCCCGCGTCGCGCTGTTAAGACATATATGACTTAATGGACAGAAACGTCTTATCTCACTCTTACCTTCTTTCCTCATACTATTCTTTAGTGCTGTAATCTATCGCGCGTTGTCGCTATTTAGGCTTTCAAGGTCAACCTGGTTGCTATAGTCGGCTTAGCATCTTAAAGAATGCAAGTGTCCCTGAGGGATTAGCTGTCCCGTTGGCCGATCTTCAACATGGAATTAGCACTATCTCAGCACTGCACCATGTTCGTCAAAAAAAAAAACCCCACAAATTTCTAACACACTCTGAAATTTTGCACCTTGAATTACGTCTCGCCACATCCTGATCATCATCAGCCTGTCCGTCTGAATTCACACTGCTCAATTCACCTTCTTCAAGAGTTATTACTGGCTGCGGGGGAATTTTCGCTCTCTTTTTCTTCATTACCTGAAAAAATTTAAGAATCTGGCGGTTTCTAAATTTCTACACCAAACAATAAAGATGAAAATACGAGGAAACTGAGTTTCCAGACAATCCTTTTCAAAGATTCTTTCAAAAGTTACACTTCCACGATTTCCAAAAACCATGGATTTCGCAACGCAAATATTTTTTTTTCGTGGCTCGTTGTATGCCATGTACACCCACATACACACACACAAACACACACTCACGTCATACGCACACCACGCAAGCACGCCCACGCCACACACCCACGTCACATACACTCGCACACCACAAAAACAGATACACATACGCACAAATTCGACCCTGTTACGCATGGATTAGAAAAATATCCCAAATACGCCAAACAACAAATATGAAAGGATAATTCGAACATCATGCTCAATAAATACAAGGATATCTACAGCGCCAATTGGAAACTATCCGTACGCGGTAAACTCGTCAACGGCAAGCAGAAAAATCGCGACGGAAAAGCGAACAAACAAACCCGAGTACCTCTACAAGCATTTTTCCATTTCAAGATATTTTCGAAAATCCGAGTATCTTCCTAACCTGGAGACATCTGCTGCTGATATATACACGCACACGCGCCGTACACACACCTACGCACACACTTACACCACGCACCCACGCATGCACCCACTCACGCACAACCCACGCACAGACCCACGCATACACCCGCGCCGCACTTACACCACACGCATCTACGTCGCGCACACGCTACACGCACCCGCACCGTACGCACACACCCACGCCGCACGCACCAGACCCACGCACACACCCGCCCCTCAAATATGCGCACACCCATGCACACGCCCACGTCGTGCACCCTGGCCATGCACTCACGCCACATGCGCACACACACACACACACACATGCATAAATCCGAACCTGTAGCGCACAACCTAAGCAAAAGAGATTGTTTTTACAGTAAATTTCACAGGCAAGTTAGACCGTTTTTAAACAGATTCTTACCTGCTCCAGCAACGCAGCACGTAATTTCTCCGCTTCATCCTCGTTGTCACCACCATCTGGTGCTGTTTCAACAGCAACAGCAGCAACAGCACTAGTGCCGGATTTCTCCATACCCATTGTTGGCAAGCTTCCACCAAAAATCATTCTTGGCGCTGGTCCAGTTCCAGAATCTGTAACAGAAACAAGAATCTGCAAAAAAAAGCAAGATAAAATCGCAAAAAAAAAATCGAATCTGTGATAATGAATGAAATCAGTTTTCAATAACTGATAATGCATGACAAAATTTTTTTTGCGCCACAAAGAACAGCCTTACTATCTTTTCCAATCATAACTTATTAAACCCAACTCCACCCAAGGTTAAAACTTTCGGACTGTGGCCGTTCCACGCTTTCCATGTTTCGGACCGCTCGATTGTTTCAGGGATTACGGTTCGGCCTATTGATGGCCGTAAATTATTTTAACAAACTTATCCCACCCTTCCTTTTAACTTTCTAATTCCGGCCGTTCTACTTCTTATTAAAGGTTAAAAGAAAACATAGAAGGAAATAATGAAAGGGAAAGGATATTAAGATAGGTAAGGGGTATTTTGTTATAGTTTTATTATAGGTAAGAAATGTTTCGGTCTATGTTTTCTTTAGACCGTCCATTTGTTTTAAGGTTTTAAGGTTTAAGGTTTTAAGGTTTTAAAGTTTAAAGTTTAAGGTTTTAAGGTTTAAGGTTTTAAGGTTAAGGTTTAAGGTTTTAAGGTTTTAAGGTTTAAGGTTTAAGTTCTAAAGGCCACAACAATTTATTACTCCAATCATCTTCTGATAATGTTAATTTGATTATTTTCACTAGCAATTTCAGTAGCGCTCCTAAAATTTTTTCCAGTTCTTACTA